GGTGGGAGCGCACGGAGCGGGGCCGGGGGCTCCCCCGGGGGGAACTCGGGTGGTGGGATCATTGGGATGAGCCACCTCGGTTCTCTCCTCGCTCCTACCAAGTCACTTCCCCACACCCCGGCCCCCGTGACCGTTGGGAGGGGGAGAATCCCTGGATGTTCCTGCTCTTGATAAGTGAGAGCAAATCAAAAGCCCTCAGGAGGGAGGGCTCTGTCCTGGCCGGTACTTGTGCATCCCTGAGCTCTTCCTGCAGCCCTGACCCTCCTCCCGCAGCCCTGACCCTCCCCCCACATCCCTGACCCTCCTCCCGCATCCCTGACCCTCCTCCCGCAGCCCTGACCCTCCCCCCACATCCCTGACCCTCCTCCCGCATCCCTGACCCTCCTCCCGCAGCCCTGACCCTCCCCCCACATCCCTGACCCTCCTCCCGCATCCCTGACCCTCCTCCCGCAGCCCTGACCCTCCCCCCACATCCCTGACCCTCCTCCCGCATCCCTGACCCTCCTCCCGCAGCCCTGACCCTCCCCCCACATCCCTGACCCTCCTCCCGCATCCCTGACCCTCCTCCCGCAGCCCTGACCCTCCCCCCACATCCCTGACCCTCCTCCCGCATCCCTGACCCTCCTCCCGCAGCCCTGACCCTCCCCCCACATCCCTGACCCTCCTCCCGCATCCCTGACCCTCCTCCCGCAGCCCTGACCCTCCCCCCACATCCCTGACCCTCCTCCCGCATCCCTGACCCTCCTCCCGCAGCCCTGACCCTCCCCCCACATCCCTGACCCTCCTCCCGCATCCCTGACCCTCCTCCCGCAGCCCTGACCCTCCCCCCACATCCCTGACCCTCCTCCCGCATCCCTGACCCTCCTCCCGCAGCCCTGACCCTCCCCCCACATCCCTGACCCTCCTCCCGCATCCCTGACCCTCCTCCCGCAGCCCTGACCCTCCCCCCACATCCCTGACCCTCCTCCCGCATCCCTGACCCTCCTCCCGCAGCCCTGACCCTCCCCCCACATCCCTGACCCTCCTCCCGCATCCCTGACCCTCCTCCCGCAGCCCTGACCCTCCCCCCACATCCCTGACCCTCCTCCCGCATCCCTGACCCTCCTCCCGCAGCCCTGACCCTCCCCCCACATCCCTGACCCTCCTCCCGCATCCCTGACCCTCCTCCCGCAGCCCTGACCCTCCCCCCACATCCCTGACCCTCCTCCCGCATCCCTGACCCTCCTCCCGCAGCCCTGACCCTCTTCCCACAGCCCTGCTGGGGTCTGGGTGGGCTGGGGCAGCACCGGGGGCTGTTTGCAGGGGGTTGGTGGATACTGGGATGGAGGAGCCATCACCACCCCCATCCCTCCTTCCCCGGACCTCTGGACCTGCCCAGCTTGGGTTGGGGGTCCCAGTGGTGGAGCAGCACCGAGGGAAGGGCCACAGCAGGGGGTGTTGGTGGGGAGGTGGGTCCAGCCACCGTGTTCCCAGCAGGAGGAGGGGGCTGCAGGGTGCAGGGCCCGTCCCCTCTCCCCGTGTCCCCCTTGGGCAGGGCTGGAGGGACGGAGGAGGGCACCGTGGGGGTCTCCTTGCCCAGGGACAGGCAGGAGCCTGGAAACGTCCCCCTGCTCTCCCGGCTCCATCGCCCTGAAGCAGATGTGCTCTGGGACTGGGGGCTCTGGCCCCTCCCAAGGACCCAGGGGATGGGGGAGGCTCACCCAGGTGCTCACTGCCCCTGTCCTGAGGCCTCTTAGTCCAGCAGCTCCTGTTCTCCCATCCTCCCTGGGAGGTTCTCCCATCCTCCTCCTGCCTCGTCAGGCTGTGGGTCTCGTCCTGCTGCTCAGAGCATCTTGACCTGCCTCCCCATCCTGGCCTGGCCCTGGGGGGAGCCCCCTGCTCCGTCCTGGGTGAGCCTTTCCCTCGGGATGAGCCTTCCTCCCTCCCAGGGTTACCTCTGCTCCGGCCTAGGCGTGAGCCAGTCCCTGGGAATGAGCCTTTTCCCATCCCCGGGGATGAGCCTTTTCCCATCCGCAGGGATGAGCCTTTTCCCATTGCCAGGGATGAGCCTTTTCCCATCCCCGGGGATGAGCCTTTTCCCATCGCCAGGGATGAGCCTTTTCCCATCTGCAGGGATGAGCCTTTTCCCATCCCCAAGGATGAGCCTTTTCCCATCCGCAGGGATGAGCCTTTTCCCATCTGCAGGGATGAGCCTTTTCCCATCCCCAAGGATGAGCCTTTTCCCATCCCCAGGGATGAGCCTCACTGTCCCAGGGCTGAGCTTGTCCCCAGGAATGAACCTGGCTCCATCCCAGGCCAATCCCTGCTCCCACCCCTGCCCCCCTCCCTCATCCCTCCAGGCTGCCCGGCACGACCCCCCAGCTCCCCCAGCGGGGGTCCCTGCCCGGCTGCCCCCCAAGCTGCCATTCCGGGGGGGGGGGGGGGCTGCTGCGCC